GAAATATACAGTGACAGCGTGACCACATCAGGAGAAATATACAGTGACAGGGTGATCACTTCAGGAGAAACCTACTGTGAGAGGGTGATCACATCAGAAGAAACATACTGTGACAGGGTGATCACATCAGGAGAAACATACTGTCACTGGGTGATCACATCAGGAGAAACATACAGTGACAGGGTGATCACATCAGGAGAAACATACAGTGACAGGGTGATCACATCAGGACAAACATACTGTGACAGGGTGCTCACATCAGGACAAACTAGAGTGACAGGGTGATCATTTTAGGAGAAACGTACTGTGACAGGGTGATCACATCAGGGGAAACATGTTGTGACAGGGTGATCACATCAGGATCAACATACAGTGACAGGGTGATCACATCAGGAGAAAATACAGTGACAGGGTGATCACATCAGGAGAAACATACATTGACAGGGTGATCACATCATGACAAACATGCCGTGACAGGGTGATCACATCAGGAGAAACATACAGTGACAGGGTGATCACATCAGGAGAAACAAACAGTGGCAGGGTGATCACACCAGAAGAAACATGCAGTGACAGGGTGATCACATCAGGAGGACAAAAAGTGACAGGGTGATCACATCAGGAGAATCATACTGTGACAGGGTGATCACATAAGGAGAAACATATAGTGACAGGGTGATCACATCAGGAGAAACATTCAACCCAGGAGTAACATACAGTCTCGTGGTGAACACCTCGGGAGAAACATTCAACCCAGGAGTAACATACAGTCTCGTGGTGAACACCTCGGGAGAAACATTCAACCCAGGAGTAACATACAGTCTCGTGGTGAACACCTCGGGAGAAACATTCAACCCAGGAGTAACATACAGTCTCGTGGTGAACACCTCGGGAGAAACATTCAACCCAGGAGTAACATACAGAACTCTCGGTGAAACATTCAACCCAGGAGTAACATACATTCAACATTCAACCCAGGAGTAGCATACAGTCTCGTGGTGAACACCTCGGGAGAAACATTCAACCCAGGAGTAACATACAGTCTCGTGGTGAACACCTCGGGAGAAACATTCAACCCAGGAGTAACATACAGTCTCGTGGTGAACACCTCGGGAGAAACATTCAACCCAGGAGTAACATACAGTCTCGTGGTGAACACCTCGGGAGAAACATTCAACCCAGGAGTAACATACAGTCTCGTGGTGAACACCTCGGGAGAAACATTCAACCCAGGAGTAACATACAGTCTCGTGGTGAAGACCTCGGGAGAAACATTCAACCCAGGAGTAACATACAGTCTCGTGGTGAAGACCTCGGGAGAAACATTCAACCCAGGAGTAACATACAGTCTCGTGGTGAAGACCCAGGAGGAGAAACATTCAACCCAGGAGTAACATACAGTCTCGTGGTGAAGACCTCGGGAGAAACATTCAACCCAGGAGTAACATACAGTCTCGTGGTGAACACCTCGGGAGAAACATTCAACCCAGGAGTAACATACAGTCTCGCGGTGAACACCTCGGGAGAAACATACAACCCAGGTCTAGCATACAGTCTCGCGGTGAAGACCTCGGGAGAAACATTCAACCCAGGAGTAACATACAGTCTCGTGGTGAACACAGCGGGAGAAACATTCAACCCAGGAGTAGCATACAGTCTCGTGGTGAACACCTCTGGAGAAACATTCAACCCAGGAGTAACATACAGTCTCGTGGTGAACACAGCGGGAGAAACATACAACCCAGGAGTAACATACAGTCTCGCGGTGAAGACCTCGGGAGAAACATTCCCATCAACCGTCCATAAAGAATGTTCTTTTTGTATAATACATTTCAGAGAGATTTAATCTGATCTCTCTTTTAAGACGAAGTTGCAGGTTTCATATTAACTCTAATACAACTCCAATGCTTGTATACATCTGGCGTCGCCATATGTAATAATTACAACGCCATCTTCAGTTTAGGTTATTGTTTTGTGCAATGTTGAAATAATGCTACAAATTGTATCTGAGGTCGTGTTGTACACAGCGTAAACAATATTACTTCCAGGAAACCAGCATGCTACCAATGTCTGCTAATTGAGATTCGTATTCACACAAGTTTACAGAATGAGGCCCTAAATGAAATGATCACAGTTGATGAAAATATATCCAGTGAACAACACGACTGCTGACGCCGAACTAGCCAGTAAACCCTTTCATCTACACCAAGGCTATTGACGAACGTGCAAACACACATGGAAACATACTAATTAAAAGAAGGGTACTGCGTTTGAAGTGGTCAGCAGCAATACGATTCCCGATTGAATTTACACAGCGGAAAAACACTATTTCGGGAAACTGCAGCAAAGGACATGCGGCCATAGGTTTGTCATTAGACATAGACGTGAGACAACTGAGACAGTTCTGTAACATTGCACATAGCCAGCCTGGCGAGACACCTCGTGGCAGTAGCACAAGTAATTGGCTTGGGTAGGTCTGGAAATTCACTCAGATCTTGTACATGATCACAGAATATCAAAAAGGAAAATTTCATGGTTTCAAGGTTTGTTGACAATATGACGTGGTCGTGGAAGACGTGGAATAACGACAGATCGAAGCAACCACAAGTACAAATAAGAGATCATGTCAAGGGTCAACCTTGTTTGATTCACCTCTCCACAGATGACATCACTACCGTTTTGTCTATTTTACATCGGAATGGGTGAAAACTACACTCTCCATTAATAAAATAAAAATTAAATTAAATTACCAGTCATTAAGGATTTTTTAAAAGTAACATGATTGCTTTAAAAGAATCAGTGTACTGTAAATGTTTGGACGTTTGAAATATGAACATATGTACATGTACCTCGATCTGCTTGTACTGGTGCCCGCGTCCTGAACGCACTAGAATCCAGCTCAGTGTAATCCCAAATACGTGATTTGTTTTCAACTGTGCAGATGACCCCTCAGCACAAAGGAATGTCGTTAATAATAGGTACCCTTTTTACGCCCATATTACAATGTATCCATGGTGTTTTAGTTTACAAGTTCGTAACTGTACACTTCAGATGAAGAGCAACATACAAGGAGGAATATTTTATGTAGTACACTTTTAGCGCTCAAGAAGACTCAGTGATCTAAGGGAAGTAACTCCGACAAGCCACGCATTCCGGTGACAGTTCCTGCTGAGGCGTCTAAACTATAATAGTATCACAGTGTTTCTAAATTCCAACAGTTTCCAACAATTACAAGAGGAATGCGAATGCCAATGTATGTCGGAAGTGCCGAGATACTGGTGCAATACATGTCATACGTTAGTCCCAGAAATCATGTTATCTTATGTACAGAACAAGCTTAACTGCACGTAATGTAGAACATTATTATCGAAGACTTGAGTCTTCCTTTCTTAATTTATACTCTAGGATCTAGGAGTCTACAGGTAATCGAACGAGAATTAACAATCCACCAAAGTATTCATCGCTTGACATTCTGCAGACGGACGATGGGATGAAGTCATCCCCAGCTAACTTTAGCGGCAAATACATCGTCTTGAAAGTACTTAGTAAGGTTCTCAAAGTGACAATGCTGTGCCTTATCTGTGAACTACTGTTATAGTTCCCTACCCATGAGCATGCAATGGGATTTCATAAGAGGAACATAGTCTCTGTATACACATCAGTACTGCAGCTCTCAGACCTGCCAGTATGTTTGTCCCAGTACTAACAGCCTTGGTGCACCAATGCCGTGGTTAAATTCCTCAGTTATAAATCCGTCCTAGAGTGTTCATCTGAACCCAACTTTCACTTCAAGCCTTTCCCTGACAATAGCTCTTAGTATATTCCACGAGGAACGATTGACGTGTACAGTTTCCACAGATGACGCATTTTGAATCGAAACGTATCATTTGTTTACTCGACTTTCTGTACAACAAGGAGAGTTCTATGGATATACACCTTCTTTAATATATGAGCGACGTTTCGGTGTAGCTACTAACACCGTTATCAAGCAAATAGTTAGTAGCTACACCGAAACGTCGCTAATATCATATTAAAGATGGTGTATATCCATAGAACTCTCCTTGTTGTTCATCACACCACCTTCTAAATGCCACTTAAACAAGTTGTCGACTTTCTGTGTTTATTCTGTGTTAACAAGTTTAAATGATAAACAAAATGTTCTTCTTCATTAGGCAGATAAATAACATTGCGTTTCATATCTGTTGGGGGCGGTGGGGTAGTCTAGTGGTTAAAACGTTCGCTAGTCACGCCGACGACCCGGGTTTGATTCCCCACATGGGTACAATGTGTGAAGCCCTATTCTGGTGTCCCCCGCCGTGATATTGCTTGAATATTGCTAAAAGCGGCGTAAAACTAAACTCACTCACTCATATCTTTTTTTAACTTACTTTGTTTTAATATTTTCTGTTTCTCGTGTTTGATTAACTTTGTGTTCCTGTATGTTGTCAGTCTTAATGTAATTCAAATCAATAATCTGGTAACTTTTATCAGTTTACGTCACCGCAGCCTACATGTATCAACACGGCTTCAGTAACCCATGCTTGTCGTAAGAGGTGACTAGCGGTGACTAACGGGATCGGGTGGTCAGGGTCGCTGACTAGGTTGACACATGTCATCGTATCCCCATTGAACAGATCGACAGCTCATGCTGTTGATCACTGGATTGTCTGGTCCAGACTCGATTATTTACAGACCGCCGCCATATAGCTGGAATATTGCTGAGTGAAACTCAATCCACTCAGTTATGTATCAACACGGAGGCTGAGCATACATGTGGGTTCAACATTTCTCCATTCAGTTATATATATTAAGAAACTGTTTCAAGTCTTACTTATCTCGGTGACTTATCTGATTTCTCTAGACAAATTTATTTACAAACGAAATATTATTTGAAATGTGCCACTCTATGAAAAACAAGCATCGTGTAAGTAATGTGAGTCGAACATGCATTTTGCAAACAGAACAGTCCCACAGATTACCAATGATTCAAATGTCAACAATTAATTTAAGAATATTTATTGTATCAACAATTTCAACAACAAAAAATATTTTAAAAATATTTAGATGACGTTTTGACACCAAATCATATCTTAAATCGAAAGAAACAAGCAGGTAAACCGTAAACATCAGACCAGTAGTAAACACTGATCTGTAAACACCGATCTCAGAAAGAATATATGTACATATCAGGTGAGAAAAGGCAGGTCAATGTTTTACATTAATAATGTTATTATCATATATTTACAAATATATTCACATTTTATATATATCGCACACCAATAGGAAATATTGCACCTTATACGGTTACCCAATGTGACTGTATTTCTTTTGAAATCTAGAAACAATGTCAAGGCATAAATGTTTGATATATCATCATAGGGCCACACGAGGAGAATATATTATTGAAACATACGTAAACACTACGTTGAGGTGCATACACGGCTTGAAGGATGGTCGCATCTCAGTATTGCACGCAGAAATCCATAAACAAATAATATGCACAAAGACTGTGAAGCGGTTATAAATATAGCAGGCTGTTAATATCGTATTTGCCGCAATGAACCAGTCAAGAGTGCTAAATAAATACAGAATTACAATATGTAGATATATAAACATTTCTATTGGTTACGTTTCCCCGTACTGTCTATCACATGTGTTACTGCCACCTGTGTTTACAACAGTCTCACTCGCTGATTTGTTCCACAATGATGTAGGATGTAGATGATGTCAGGAGACGATGTTGATACAGCTGTTACTGATGAGTCCAATAAAACATAGACGGTGTTGCCTATTGCAGCATGAACGACTATGAATGCAGCCACTAGCTTCAGATGCATCGTTTGGTAATATCCCCGCGACGGTGACATATATTAAACGTGTATTTGGTTGTTATAAACCTACATGTTGCATAATCTGAGACGCAATACCCAAACCAAACTTCATACAAAATGCACAGAGGGGCAAAAGAAAACATACCGATTATTTCTTTGTAATAGGAAATCAAGTGAAAATGCTGTCTACCCAATACTAATTCAAACGTTGTAAAAGGTAACCTGTACATCGGCCATATTGAGTAAAACAAATGGTTCATTGAAGACCGGGTTAATACATTCATTTACAACCATTTTGTAGCAAGGAATTTCAGGGATTTCTTAAGATATCCATCATCAGTTGTGTGTTCGTAATTCTTAACAAGTTTTATAAGAATGCATTTTTTTACCAAAAAAAACGTACGGAAGGGTTCATTGAGTGTCGCGAATACCGTTCATTATTGTACATGCATTATTGCTAACTTAAGAATAATTGCACCTGAACATTATACACATGATAAACCCAGCTGACAGGTAGTGTTTCTTTTGCTCCTCGGTTGAAATACATCCGTTTATATCATTACTACTGACATTCAACGAAAACGGATTAATGTGTAATAACTATTAATATAAAATGTAAGCCGTACCGTGCACACACATCCGCATAATAAGAATATAGCAGTATTTCACAAACCGACTAAACCAGGATCCGCTACTTTCCAACTTGTTGTCCTTCAGCTTGGCTTTATGAGTACGTACAGCGAGCCCCCGACATGTTAAACACACTGTAAAGTGTTGTTTGATGGTTCAGGGATCGTCAAATGTATTAGAATTATGGGAACCATCAACATGAACTAATCCGTAAATACTCAAAAAAACACAAATGTAGAGAGTCCAGTTGTGCGACATATCTCTCCATCTGCAAGATCAGATAGTGCTGGATCTGGACCAACTTGCACAAACCACTTTCATTCTGTTCGCCTATTTCCCCGTCAGGGTTGTTTTCCTCTCTTTGTGACCATCCACTCTTCCTTCCAGCACAAGCCTGGAACGTTCATAAACACGTTGACTATTTTGTAATAATAATGACCGATTAAACAGGACCAGTTCTGTTTGAACCACTGATACAGATCTGTAGAAGGAACAAGGGTACTGCATGTCTTCTGATAATGAGGGAATGGTGTAGAAAACAAATATATATTCAGGTTCACATGGTAATTACTGGCAGAGTTCACCATACATTCAAGTGTATGGGAAACTGTTGACGCTGAAGGTTTGTCTGTATGTCTTCTGGCTATCTTCTGCAGCATAGCAACACTGCATAATAACCGTCTTGTCTTTGTTAGATCCTTGCTTACTGTTCGTTCCATTGTGCTGGAGATCACCATCTTGTTCACTGTCTTCACGAACGTCATGCTGCCTGTTTTTGCACTGCGTGAGCTTTACACTTCGACACTGGAAATACCGAAGTGCTGATGATGGTGTCGTGCGTCTACTCCAGGGTCGATTGGGAAGATGTTCAAATTTTGTTAACCCCACTGAGGCCATCTCTGTCTCTTATGAAGAGGTAGTTGATGGCTATTCACATGTATTGCGAGTGAATGTGAATATTGCATGAGATGCTGTTGTTATTGCTACTCGAACATTTTCTGATCAATGAAGATGTACCGCACCATGTTGTGAGCCAGCAACATTGAAAATAACTGCAACGAACAAGTGATGATATCAAAACAGAGACCAACCTTCAATTTTTACAGGCACTGCAGGAAATAGACATAAGTAATTAATTATTTAAGATCAGACATTATATATCAATTAATCCTCACCAAACCAGCCACATGAAAACACATCAGTAAATGTACAACCAGAAATTATTGGGAACTTAGAGATTGTAATTTTTTAATTTTTTTCACTCATTACTCACGTATTAAATGTGAATATTAGCAGAACATAACTCCAGATTCAAAGACAGGTGAACAGTTAGTATTTTGTCAAGTCACCATGGGCAGCAATGCAGGCTTCAATGCGGCGGAGCATACTACTGATTAAAGAAGTTAGAAAGTCGTGGTCCATGCTGTCCCAATATCGGACCACCTCTTCTTTCATTTCAGCAATATTTGTCAGATTTTTCTTATTGACACTTTCCTTCATAAGTTCCCAAACATTTTCTATTAGATTTAGGTCAGGGCTATAGCTTGGCCAATCTAATAATGTCACATTTTGGGTCCGAAACCAGGCCTGTGAATGCTTTGATCGATGTTTTGGGTCGTTGTTCTGCTGGAAAATCCAAACATTTCCATAGAACACGTGAGCAGATGATGGAAGTAAATATGTCCCTCGAGAATATCTGTGTACCGCTCACTGTTCATATTCCCTTCAAATACACAGAGGGGTGTTGCCCCTAACACAGATATGCCACCCCACACGTTAAATTTCGGACTGTACTTTGGGCGCTGATACAAAGGTTTTTCAGTTTGTTTGGTCCAGAATTTCAGTGTATTAGGAAACAGCCACACAGAACTTTCATCTGAGAAAATCACTTTGTCCCAGTTAAAATTTCTATGCTGTAAGCACCAGTTCATATCCAGCCTTAAGTTTTCTAAACTCCTTCGTTTGTTTTTAGAAACAATAATACCAAGCCGCCTCCTGTCACCGACAGTCAATTTTCTGGGCCTACCTGCGCCTCCCTGGTGCTCAATGCCATATCCATTTGAAATATTTTTCAAAACACGATAAACAGTGGACAAAGGGATGCCTGTTCTACTTGAAAGCACTTTAGCTGATCTGATGTCCTTGTTATAATACTCTAAAATCAACTTCCTCTTCTCTAAATCATCCATACTGAGGATCACTGAAAATGCCGCCTGCTAGCAAGTAAAAAAAGGGGGATAACTCTTCACAAACTAATGAAAAAGGATTAACAGAGTTGTCTCTCTTGAATGAAACCAAGCACTTGATAGCTGGTCAAGGTTGTTTATACTAGAAATCCAATTAAACATATTCCTAAAATTCTCAATAATTTCTGGTCATACTATATGTTTTACTTCTTACTGGCCCCAACAACAACAACATATCAATGTGTGTATACCACTTTACCTCTTCTATATATATATCCAAAACTTCACTACAAATATTCCACTTTACCTCTTCCAAGTCCATATATCAAAACATCAATACAAATACATGTATTCTACCTCCAACAAGTCTACACAGCAACACAACCAATACAAATATTCTACTTTACCTCGAGGAAGCCGACACAGAGGGCTATGAGGCCAATGACGATGAGGTTATCCTTGAATGCAAACATGAGCGACCCTATGCAGCCTTGTGTGAAGACTAGTTGCTCCGCGTATGTGTCCTGTAAATACACATTGATGTTCCAGGCACGCACCATCTTATCAACATTCAAACGTTGGAGACGATAAGTTTATATCCGTCAAATAAGTAAGTTTAAGGCACATAGTTGGTAATTATTAGGGATACAGATAAATGATGAACAGGTTATTCATTAAGCAACTACCTGAGGTGAACGTGTTTGTGTTTTCTCGTGTTCATAACCATCGACTTACTGGGATGTCATACAGTTAAGACCCAAATCTCGAATTTTTCCAACCCTGGGCAGAATTTAAGATTATTATTTTATTTCTGCGAGTGAAGCAGATAGCACTTCGGAACATCGGTATTTACAACGTTCACAGTGCAATCAGAAGATCCCATGTGTACAGGATTCACTCCAGAGACAGGCCATATCAATGACTGTGATAAAGGTTCTGACTTTTGAAAACGTTAGATGAGCAAACCATTGCAGCTGACTGATCTTGAATACCAGCTAGCTGTGAACATGTTGTATTTGTTTCAGACTATTCCTGTAGAAAGATGTAGTAACAGTTCCCCTTGACTTAAAAAAGACTTGTCTTTGGTTCAACTGTTCTTAAAAATTAATGTCCATACAGTACGTGCAATTCCCAAATAAAAGCCCTGGGCTTAATTGTGCTTGTATCTTGAACTTGACTGTCACCATATGTGGGGACTGCATTATATACTGACCAGATACTTGCGGACACCGAAGCCACACTGGGCGGACGTGGGCACCCTGCAGCAGGACCTTGGCACTCCACAACGAGACACGGCCGCCGAGGAACAGTTGTAGTACACGTTCACTTCCCAGTCGGAGTAGCTTGCGGCCCCGCAGCAGTAGAACTGCAAATACACATCAACATGTTAGAAACAGGTAACATGGCAATGTTCACGTAGATTTGCATCTCACAGCTAAATTGGACAACATCCTTAAACAGTTTATGTTAAATTATTATCAATACAGGGCCCACACTGCGAACATGGTAGGAGCTAGGGATATAACATATCACGGATCGTTTAAATACATTGGTTGATTGTTGTCTAACGCCGCACTCAGCATTATTCAAGCGGCGGTCTGTACACAATCGAGTCTGGAGCAGACAATCCAGTGATTAACAGCATGAAATTCAATCTACGCAATTGGGCTACGATGACATGTGTCAACCAAGTCAGCAAGCCTGACCACCCGATCCCGTTAGTCTTCCGGCAAGCATGGGTTGCTGAAGACCAGTTCTAACCCAGATCTTCACGGGCCTTAAATACATTGAAGAAACAGTAACTTTTATTTGTCGTAGTCTCCTTTAGTCAAAAAGATTATTTTCAAATAGCAAATTTAATGTAAATATAATGACCAACCTATGAAGTATCTTATGAAAGATTTACCTGTTTCTGTAGGAAGTCGATGGCGTCCCTGATGTCGTCGTTATCGCCGTAGTGGGTTATGGCGTGCTGCATGTAGTCCATCATGGCTTTTTCAACTTTGTCCATCAGGACGAAGGCCAGGATACCGGCCACCATTTGGACCACGAACACCACCACAATGGTCAGTATGTACTGTGAAATAACAACATCAGGATATTTTAGTCATAGTAGTGTGGGACAACCAAACAAGATCTACTGGTCATTGTGTAGTGTGGGACAACGGAACAAGACCTACTGGTCATTGTATAGTGTGGGACAACGGAACAAGACCTGCTGGTCATTGTGTACTGTGGGACAACGGAACAAGATCTCCTGGTCATTGTATAGTGTGGAACAAAGGAACAAGATCTACTGGTCATTGTATAGTGTGGGACAACGGAAGAAGACCTGCTGGTCATTGTGTAGTGCGGGACAACGGAACAAGATCTACTGGTCATTGTGTAGTGTGGGACAACGGAACAAGATCTGCTGGTCATTGTATATTGTGGGACAACGGAACAAGATCTGCTGGTCATTGTGTAGTGTGGGACAACAGAACAAGACCTACTGGTCATTGGGTAGTGTGGGAAAACGGAACAAGATCTACTGGTCATTGTGTAGTGTGGGACAACGGAACAAGATCTACTGGTCATTGGGTAGTGTGGGAAAACGGAACAAGTGTACTGGTCAACGGAACAAGATCTACTGGTCATTGTGTAGTGTGGGACAACGGAACAAGACTGGTCATTGTGTAGTGTGGGACAAGATCTACTGGTCATTGTGTAGTGTGGGACAACGGAAGAAGATCTACTGGTCATTGTGTAGTGTGGGACAACGGAACAAGATCTACTGGTCATTGTGTAGTGTGGGACAACGGAACAAGACCTACTGGTCATTGTGTAGTGTGGGACAACGGAACAAGATCTGATGGTCATTGTGTTGTGTGGGACAACGGAAGAAGACCTACTGGACATTGTATAGTGTGGGACAACGGAACAAGACCTACTGGTCATTGTGTAGTGTGGGACAACGGAAGAAGATCTACTGGTCATTGTGTATTGTGTAGTGTGGGACAACGGAAGAAGATCTACTGGTCATTGTAGTGTGGGACAACGGAAGAAGACCTACTGGTCATTGTATAGTGTGGGAAAACGGAACAAGATCTGCTGGTCATTGTGTAGTGTGGGACAACGGAACAAGATCTACTGGTCATTGTGTAGTGTGGGACAACGGAAGAAGATCTGCTGGTCATTGTGTAGTGTGGGACAACGGAACAAGATCTACTGGTCATTGTGTAGTGTGGGACAACGGAACAAGATCTACTGGTCATTGTGTAGTGTGGGACAACGGAACAAGATCTACTGGTCATTGTAGTAGTGTGGGACAACGGAACAAGATCTACTGGTCATTGTCATTAGTGTGGGACAACGGAACGAAGATCTACTGGTCATTGTGTAGTGTGGGACAACGGAACAAGATCTACTGGTCATTGTGTAGTGTGGGACAACGGAACAAGATCTACTGGTCATTGTGTAGTGTGGGACAACGGAAGAAGATCTGCTGGTCATTGTGTAGTGTGGGACAACGGAACAAGATCTACTGGTCATTGTATAGTGTGGAACAACGGAACAAGATCTGCTGGTCATTGTGTAGTGTGGGACAACGGAAGAAGATCTACTGGTCATTGTGTAGTGTGGGACAACGGAACAAGATCTACTGGTCATTGTGTAGTGTGGGACAACGGAACAAGATCTACTGGTCATTGTGTAGTGTGGGACAACGGAACAAGATCTACTGGTCATTGTATAGTGTGGGACAAGTGTGGGAACAAGATCTACTGGTCATTGTGTAGTGTGGGACAACGGAACAAGATCTACTGGTCATTGTGTAGTGTGGGACAACGGAACAAGATCTACTGGTCATTGTGTAGTGTGGGACAACGGAACAAGATCTACTGGTCATTGTGTAGTGTGGGACAACGGAACAAGATCTACTGGTCATTGTGTAGTGTGGGACAACGGAAGAGATCTCACTGGTCATTGTGGGACAACGGAACAAGATCTACTGGTCATTGTGGGACAACGGAACAAGACCTGGGACTGGTCATTGACAACGGAACAAGATCTACTGGTCATTGTGTAGTGTGGGACAACGGAAGAAGATCTGCTGGTCATTGTGTAGTGTGGGACAACGGAAGAAGATGCTGGTCATTGTGTAGTGTGGGACAACGGAAGCTGTCATTGTAGTGTGGGACAACTGGATCTACTGGAAACATTGTGTAGTGTGGGACAACGGAACAAGATCTACTGGTCATTGTGTAGTGTGGGACAACGGAACAAGATCTACTGGTCATTGTGTAGTGTGGGACAACGGAACAAGATCTACTGGTCATTGTGTAGTGTGGGACAACGGAACAAGATCTGCTGGTCATTGTGTAGTGTGGGACAACGGAACAAGATCTACTGGTCATTGTGTAGTGTGGGACAACGGAACAAGACCTACTGGTCATTGTGTAGTGTGGGACAACGGAAGAAGATCTGCTGGTCATTGTGTAGTGTGGGACAACGGAACAAGACCTACTGGTCATTGTCTAGTGTGGGACAACGGATGAAGCACAAGTCAGTTAATATCACTGAGTTACAAATTCAAAATACAGTGCAGGCAACAACATAAAAGAACTCCACCAACATACATGCGAAAATACTCTACTAGAACACAAGTCACGTGCAGTCAATATACGTCTAACTAGGGTTCCCATTTCTTTACAGAACCACGACCTATTAGAAGCGAGTTTCCTAACACCAGCACCACACCAATACCAACACCAACACGAGGAACAGATCATGCAGCACTCACAGTTCGCAACAGACAGATGTTTTCCCTGAGAGCTCCGATACATCCGAATATGCTGATGAAGAACATCACTGACCCAACCACTATCAACATGTAGGCAGGGTCAGTGATCACGTGATCGAAGAAGGTCAGACCTTTCTTCTGGAGACGTGCCCAGATTCCGATGCCAAGCATCACACAGCCGGCCGTCTGAAACCATGGATGATATTGGTCATTTGTAACAAGCATTTAAGTAATACAACGGCATGTCACCTTCATGTGGGCTGAACATCCGAAGAAATACCTGCAGGAGGTGAAAGTTGACTACCAGCAAGGGCAAGGTGCTCGCAACATTATAATCAGGCCGAAAAAAGGATTCGAACCCACACAGCTTTTTTGCCGCTCAAAATATGCAACTCAGAAGAAATGTCGGCGCTACCGCTTCACTAAGATCAAACTGGCCTCATATGTTGGCTAATCACTGCAGCATTTACTCAGTCTTGTTTCACAATGGAACCCCGAATCATAAGCAACATAGGTACATCCTAGGTATCATCTCAAAGCCATCGGAATTTTCGGATGAGGAGGACATTTTATAAATCTGAATATGATTTAGGGCTGGTCATTAATCCCCATCCCACCAAATACCAATTCCTCATAATTTAGTTTCAATTTTGGTTTTGTATTTCTGTGTTATTTGTTATTACCAAATGGCCATTCTAGACTTACTTACCCATACTAGAAAGTTGATAACAAACAGACTGTACTTAATCCACAAGTTACAGTCGCAACACCGGTCCATCCAAGAGGAGGAAGAAATATCTACTGACTGTTGAGTGATCGAGTCTGTCGGAGTTACGTCCCCTGCGCCAGGCATTATATCCTGAAGACGTCTAGTTCACTGAGACTGGGTTACCTGTTGGAACAAGTTGGCGTTTAGGGGAGTGTTTGATTGTCCAAATACGATAAAACAATTACAAACAATACTTCGAGTACTGACACGAATAAAGACTGAATATTTTCTTTCTTTCTTCATCAACTCCGGGTCCTTGCCCCCTCTACACCCAACCCAGACAGCGAATGGAACTTCTCCCAGTGTACTTTCCTCAGGAATCTGGAAGCAATGTAGCCTTTTGCATCACCCAGAGTGTCAGTAGTGTTCCTGAGTGCAAACCAGGGTACTCTCCGTTGGTCAGCCAAGGCATTGACCACCAAGAACAATGGGGAGCCGGACGACTTGTTACTTGGGATTCAAGCATGACATTTCGCGTGCGGTTTCCGCATATTCTTGAATTTGTCCATCGTGTAAGTGTCAAAAGTGACAGTAAATTCGATGATGTAGATACTTTTGCTGGTTATATTAAATACGACAACATCAGGGTTGTTGTACGTCTGAGGCTGTATTCGGGCTTATTCCAAAGAATTGTCATTTTCCATGGTGCCATCTACATATTCTCGACCGCACCATGGTTGGACCTCTGAGTCCAAACTACAAGCACGTGATAATAAGTGTGCTTAAACATTTCGGAATAAAGCTTAAGTTAACATTTTCCGATGTTTATTGCCGCCATGTGTTGCATCTGATGACAAAGCATACAGAATAAACATACCTCACATCTTCTCCAATAGTTTACACAACTGCTAGACATGTCGAAGTGTGGCCCACGCATAAAGTTCGAGTATATGCATAAATCTACACTGAATCGATACAAACCATATTTATTCCGACGCTAAAAAGAATTGATCTAGTAACAGGTGGTGTACTAGTCCCACCTTGCCTCAACAATGACGTCAGGACGCAGTTAGCTTTCACACAACACACAACAGTATATCTCTATATCACACAACACTGACAGTATATCCCATATCACACAACAATGACAGCATTTCGCCATATCACACAACATTGACAGTACATCCCATATTACACAAAGCTGACGGTATATCCCATATCACACAACACTGACAGTATATCCCATGTCACACAACACTGACAGTATATTCCACATCACACAACACTGACAGCATATCCCATATCACACAACACTGACAGTATATCCCATATCACACAACACTGACAGTATATTCCATATTACACAACACTGACAGTATATCCCATATCACACAACACTGACAGTATATCCCATGTCACACAACACTGACAGTATATTCCATATCACACAACACTGACAGCATATCCCATATCACACAACACTGACAGTATATTCCATATCACACAACACTGACAGTATATCCCATATCACACAACACTGACAGTATATTCCATATTACACAACACTGACAGTATTTCCATATCACACAACACTGACAGTATATTCCATATCACACAACACTGACAGTATATCCCATATTACACAACACTGACAGTATATCCCATATCACACAACATTGACAGTATATCCCATATCACACAACACTGACAGTATATCCCATATCACACAACACTGACAGTATATTCCATATCACACAACACTGACAGTATATCCCATATCACACAACACTGACAGTATATCCCATATCACACAACACTGACAGTATATTCCCATATCACACAACACTGACAGTATATCCCATATCACATAACACTGACGGTAGTATATTCCATATCACACAACATTGACAGTATATCCCATATCACACAACACTGACAGTATATCCCATATCACACAACACTGACAGTATATTCCATATCACACAACACTGACAGTATATCCCATATCACATAACACTGACAGTATATTCCATATCACACATCACTGACAGTATATCCCATATCACATAACACTGACAGTATATCCCATATCACACATCACTGACAGTATATCCCATATCACATAACACTGACAGTATATCCCATATAACACAACACTGACAGCATATCCCATATAACACAACACTAACAGTATATCCCATATAACACAACACTGACAGTATATCCCATATCACACAACATTGACAGTACATCCCATATAACACAACACTGACAGTATATCCCATATCACATAACACTAGCAGTATATCCCATATCACACAACACTGACAGTATATCCCATATCACACAACATTGACAGTACATCCCATGTCACACAACACTGACAGTAAAAACGGGGTTTTTTTCACTTTGTAAGCGTTATCCCCAAACTAAATATTTAGGAGTCCTTCTACCGAGGCACATTCTTCTGGACGCCTGACATAAAATATATAGCGGTAAACACTCCGCTGGTGTGCTGGTGTGCTGGTGTGATGGTGCTCATTCCGCGAACAGTTAGCCATTATTACCACTGCTACCTACATACAAGCTCACATGGACATCCACAAGCGTGAACTGAAGCCGACATGTTGATTGCACGGCCATTTCGCATCTGTCGCACAACACATAACCTGGTTCAGGCAAGACCATCATTAATTAATATTCTGATACAGGATATACCAGACAAAAGTGTGACCCGTACCGGTGATGGAGGTTACCTTAAACGTCCGTTGCGCCGACCTGGAGCGGGCTGATGTTCCATACCAGAAACGGAGGATGTCCACAAACTCTTCTGGGTCATATCCGCGTTGGTAAATGCTGAACTCCGACACAGATATGATCGTGCACATTAGGAGTAGTACTAGCAACTCGTAGCATGGCAGCTTTCGCGTATCGATCCAGATGCCCCATTCAGCACTGACTTGAATAGGTGCCGTCACAGTCTCACAACGATGGTGTCTCTGACAAGGGCAGTAAGCGCAGTGCTGTTAAATAACTTCCACATAACTATTGTGAATAACGTACACGGATTCTTTACGGTAATCAAATAAGAATACAATAGATGGGAAATACCCGCTGGCCTTCATACCGAGGGGTGAACATGGTACCAAATACCCGACCTTGAACAGTGATATAAAGGGAGATAACTGATACAGCGTTAACTTGACCTGATCGATCTGTTATCGTGCGTGTATCGCGAAGTGCCCACCAGTGAACGATGTTCAAATTGGCGGGGAATCGATGACAAGCAGACGTGACGAGACGTGTGTGTTGGAGGATGATTTAATTCCAGGAACTACCTCCACCTTGGGTATTAGCTACACATCGTAGTACTGCCAGACAAATGATTCAGTTTCTTCTATGAATGCCATGAGCACCAAGTGACGTGTCTATGACTTAGAAGGGGAATATATAGGTCATGAGTAGAAACGTCTGGTACTGTGACCAAAATACGACACCTTTCTTCCGTGGGGAGGTGAGAAAAGAAGTCATCTCGCTACAGACAGCTTGCTCAGTGATTCAGCTGGTAGGTTCCAGTCACAAGATCTTCCATATGTCGCCATACGGGACTTATGCCAACACACCGAGCAGTGTTCTGTTGTGTTCCGGACGCTGCAGTGCAGAACGCTCAATGTCATGTTTATCTGGTATGCAGATGTCAATATTTTAAACAGTGACAAATCAATAAAATCCCAATGACTTTTTCTTCCACAAGCTGTGCACACTGATAAGACTAAACTAGATGCCCAGACAAAGGAAGTGGTATGATGGGTGCCTTGATGTGGAGAGTTGGCACTGGCCTTGATGGGGCAGCGTCGATACCTGTATGCTTAATCCTCACATCTGTTACAGGATAACAATACTTGATATATTATACAGTTAAAAGACTAATAACCATATGTAATCTATACAATGTAGAGAGATTATGACACACACGCCTATAGCTTGTTACTATTCACTTGTACGCAGTGATATCAGACCTGCATGTGTTCCTGACCTCGGACTGGGGACTTCAGTGAAACATCAGCGAATGGTTATCTACACAATACCTTGTTTTAAACAAAAGGAGCTCTACCTTCCTACATCCATTTATACTCACATGTTTGTGACTGCTTATTCTTATTCTTGTTGAAGTGCATGACTGTCCACTGTATTGGTTGTGGTAAACATTATGGGCGATAAGCAGACTGTATAACTGCTTGGTCGCCATAATCTAATGATTAAATACTGTATCTCTCTGGACACCGAACCACTAAAGCCATCAGTTGATGAAATGACTGTCCACTGTATTGGTTGTGGTAAACATTATTGGCGGTAAGCATACTGTATAACTGCTTGGTCGCCATAATCTAATGATTAAATACTGTATCTCTCTGGACACCGAACCACTAAAGCCATCAGTTGATGGAGTATATTTGAATCTAAACTTCAACATGCATTTCCATTACCAGAACAACATTCTGAACGTAAGGAGTAATACATTATATAATCTATGTTTAGTGTCATGGATGATGTTGTTCTTTTAGTAAGTGAGTGAGGATGTTTTACGCCGATTTTAGCAATATTCCAACAATATCACGGCTGGGGACACCTGAAATGAGCTTCACACATTGTGCCCATTGGGGAATAAAACCCGGGAGGAGTAGGCATGACGAGCAAATGCTTTAACCACTAGGCTACCCCACCGCCCCACCTGATTTGATGATTACCATAATACAGCTGAATGGAAACTGACAATTTTCTACTGGCTTGCTGTAGGAGTATCTTCTGTGTTTAAGTTCCAGTTTTGACTTAAATTCTCTGACCAATTCTCTGATAAGGCAAACACCTTAATATTGCTCTTCAGTTACATGCCTAATAGCCTAAGTGAATAGTAGTATGTGTGAGAAAGACGAGCAAACGGTTTTAGCACTAGGTTACCCCACACCGGGTGAACATTGCAAGTAAACAAGGAGCAATAAAAAATTGTGCCTTTTAGGAATAAAGCTTATGCTGTAAAAGAAAACATAATGGTTTATAGTTCCCCAAATAGGCCTCAAAGTGCATTGAGGGGTAATTACGAAGGTTTAACAAGACTATAAGGAGCAATTGTACAGCCTATTCTGCTCTGTAGACGGGCTAGCAGGGGGTTGAGGGAATGCAGCGGCACCAATGTTGTACAGAAAAGAACCCGTAGAAACTTTTAGACAGTACCAAATCAAAGTGTGCTCCGAGAGGTGAACTGGGCTGGAAAAGCTTCTTGACAAAACAAAGGATTGAAATATGCAGATTTTAATAAATAGTCACCACAGAACAGAATGCTAGTTCTCAGTCTTAAAATTTTAAGAGAGGTCCGAACATAAAAGAAAGACTTGTATATTATAGTTATCTCCCTTGCATCGAAACCTGGTTTAAATATAGATTTTATGAACGCTTCATTTTTAACAAATATCTATTTCTCATTCCATGGAAATATTTTTTGTGATAGACAACCAGTTATTGCTTGAAGACTCACGGATTGCCAAGTACTTACCACAAGTCGATAAACACAGAACTTACGTTCCAACAAGACAGAATGGCAAAGAAATACTCACACAGTACTATGTTCAGAGAAAGATGCTTGCTTGATCTGGATCATTACCGCTTGCAGTTCAAAACAAGGACAGTCACGTCTTGAGTTCAGTTTAATTTTATAATGGTTTTACTGTTGTTTTATTTGTTTTATTGTGTGTCTCACAGGCCTAAATAGGCCGGACTCTGTACCAGGGTGTGACACATTGTAATAAACTAATGTTCTTCTCCTTCTCTGTTGGATATCAACTGTTCAGACATCAGTGTCAGATCCC